ACAGGCTGGGTCAACAATTGTTGTCAGTCTGTATTGTCAGTTTTAGTAATAATAATAATAATAATAATAATAATAATAATAATAATAAATAAATAAATAAAAAAAGTGAAAAACATTAGCAATAAGAAACAAAAAAAAGAAAGTTTTTTCCTCAATGAGACTAACTGTAAATATATACGCGACCTATTGTATTTAGTTAAGCTCGCAAGTGGTATAATTCGTAATTACCTTGGTTAATATTTAAGTGTGCATTTGTGTAATGGAGAGCAACGATCAAGATGAAAATAACATTTGTACATCATAGCTTTCGATGGACAACTGCACTTCAACAGGTCTATCAACCTTTTGTTCGAGGATCGATGTTACTCCTAAGTCGAACGATCTAGGCCTTACGGTAACCGTGAGCTACTATTCACTTTTATTGAGGCAATAACAAACATTGTCGTACTGAGTCCTCTTTCAATGAGCAATGAATAATAAGTGAGTACAGAAGAATACTTAAGAAAGGGAAAATAAATTTGTAAATAACTTAAAATAAAAACTCAATTATGCACTTGTTATATTTTGATTCAGGTACGACCATATGATGCCTCGTATTTGTAGCCCTAAGCTATTGAGACGTATTGTACGAGTTTCGGTAAGATATACGATTGTTTACTCGATGGAAGGTGCAACTATTGGCAAAAACGTTCGTTCTTTGTGTTTGTTGCTCTTTCTCTTCAAATTTCATCGAGTAATTTTATGAGATATAATCGTTGCAGGTCATCAGACATTGCGCAATCCCACATTTATATTTTTCTCACAATAATTTAACGTAGCGAGAATAAGTCGGACACTGAATCCTCCTTTCTTCTATTTTTACTTTAAAGTCAAGGAAAGTGGCAAAATAATTTTTAATTATAAAAAAAAAAAATGACGGTCAATATATATTTGCTACCTTTTAGTTTCGATATATGTATATAATGTCGTTATTCATTTTTACATTAAGAAGTGGAAAGATGATATTAAATAGAAAAAAATTTTACCTTTAATATGCCAAATGAAACGTTAGTAGTAACCCACATTAAAAAGATGAACAACTTTCTCCCGCGCAACTTTTTCCTACTATATTTTCTTCTTTCTTAACGACACTCGTCCTTCCCCGTCACTTCACCACTTCTCCCTGCATGGTTCGTCTCTTTCTTCTTCCTTCCTTAGCACCGTTTGATCCCTTGTGCTATCGATCATGATGTTGGCCGTATGCCCACTTCTAGTTACGATTGCTTGTTGGTGGTGTTGGCTCATGATCCCGGCTCCTCCTTCTGCTTCAAATTTCGCGTCCTTTCCCCCGCTTATTCTAACGATTGCCTCCATGTGCCAGATCTCATATTCCACTTCAATCTTGCTTAACTAATGAGTGTCCCGTGTGTACTAGTGTTACTATCCCTGCTGCTCTTCGCATCGTTTGTCCATATTCAACTTCACGTTTGTTTGCCCGCTCGCTTTCATACTTGCATCTGCTTGTTTCGACTTACACTCGTAGTTGTATGCCACTGTGTTTTGCTAGTTATGGCACCTCGTTTCTTGCTCGTGATTCTTCCCCAATGATTCCCGCTCTTCGTAGCTATCATGCGACCTTACTCTCTTTCTCACTTTACATTCCCACTCCTTCACAATCCCGTTTAATTCCCTCTTGCATTACTCCCACCGAATGTACCCAGACTATAGCCTCGGTCCGGTAAAGCAAAAACGAGGGTGCGTTGTGTTCGAGGGATAATGATCGTCCTTCCTCTTGGTCTTTCCTTCGTTGTTCCTCTTTTACTCATCCCTCTCTCCTTACCTTGTCCGCGTATACCCTCCTCTCGTTTTATCATTTCCTGTCCTCTTCCTACTACGTGTTCCTCTACTCACGCCCCCCTTTGCCCGATCCTTATTTTCGGACATGTTTCCTGCTTGCAATCCCAATCTCATCGACGCTTACCTATCTTTATAACCGACCTCCCTTATCGTAGTTGTTGTGTGTCCTCATATTCACTCGTTTTCTCTCTCACGACTCCATTCCCAATCACTCTCGTTTTTTGTCATTATTGCTTACGACTTGAGCTAACTCGCTTCCCTATTCGTTCTCTCGATCGTGATTACAAAGTTTTTTTGTTATCGTACTCACGATCGCACCCTGTTTATACACGCAATCTCTCCCTATCTTATCGTCTTCTTACGCCCACTTGCTTGCTCTGATGTCAGTGCTCATACTAATGCTCGTATGTCCCCGTTCTTTTTTTTTTTTCCTTCCTTCTTACTCGTTTTTACATGCTCGTTTGTATTCGTGCTTGTGCTCTCGCTAGACCCCCTCTTTCTTTACTATCGCATGTGTGCTTCGACTAACGCTCGGGATTGTTTGTTGTATGTCAGCGCCTCACGTTGCCTTATACTACTGCTACTTGCTTCACCTCATACTCGTTCTTACCTTCGTGCTTGCTAGTTAACTCCGTTTCGCTTCTCATAGCGCACACTTCGACTAATATTTGTGCTTGCCTCTTCCTCTCGCTCTAGTGCCTGTATTCGCACTCTCCTCTCATTTGCTCCTTGCCAAACCACGTCGTACTTCCTGCTTCCCACAGATTGAGTCGATAGCATCGAGTATCATCTTTACATATAAATTTGAAGGATTCTGTAGTCGCGATGCAAGGGAGACAATATCAACTTCACACCTCTCCATAAAACATGTCATAGTTCAAGTGTTAAAACCAACTTATCTAGCAGAATTTCGTTATTTTAAGTTTGGTCTATCTAAGAGTACTTAATCGTGCTTGAAACGCAGTCGAACCTAGCTCATCATTTGGGATAAATTCGTAACAAGGATTAAATAAGTTAAATAAATAGGAGGAAAGAGAAATAATAAAAAAATAAAAAATATAACTAAAGTTAATTCCTATGTACCCTACCAGTGAGTTTTTTTACCACGTATGTATACCGTTTCGATCGAAACATTCATTATCATTTTGCACAGTTGGGTGAGTAGCATGTCAGTGCCCTCTCTGACAGGTATTTATGAAGTTCACGCGTCATTCTATTTCCTACCTTCCATGAATCTATCGTGTACTATAAGGAATATTCAATGTGGTAGTTTAAAAGTTTCTCGTAGAATCCAAAACTAATAAAAATATAAAACAACAAATTTTCAATAGAAAAATAAAAAATATAAAAATAAAGGAGATTTAATTGTAACTACCTTAACGTGCCCCGTGTGGCCAACTTTCGGCGCATGTCACTGGGAGGAGCCTAAAGTCCCTACTCAACTACTCATAGTCTTGAAGTCACGGGTTCGAGTCTCATCTGGCTAGGAGCTGGTTGAAACAGTGGTTAAGTGGTCTTCCACTCCTTATTAGGAGGAGTTGGCCCGAAGGCAGGATAGACTCGATCCCTATATCTTCATCTTGTCGACCCGCACTTTAACTACTGGATTCGCTTCTACTTTGGGTAGAAAAGGAGCAGTCCAGTTATAAGTAGAGGACTGGGCTCCACGTAGCTAGTACACCGAGCCCAAGTCCTGTTTTCGAGGCAATATCAAACCTATTTTGCCTACCGTAGCCCGATAGGATGGACAAACATTTTCTTATGGTTACCCCGTCCATATGGTTGGGCCTTTATATTAATTTTTAACCCACGTTTAAGTCTACGACGGAGTGAACTGCCGTTTTTTGTATACGGATGCATTCGACTGCCGTGGACTTGAACTAACTGATTTATTTTGTTGTACCGTCTAAGTTTTCGACTAACTTAAAATAATGTCACCGCATCTAGTGCGGCTTCCCTTTCTGTGACTAACCCTTCGACCTTATGGTCGAAGGTTTTACTTACTAACCGCCATTGTCTCTTGCGCCTGCCACGGTAGTTTGCTCAACCATTTAACAACCCCGAACATGTTGGTCAAAGAGTTTATTTAATGGCGTCGCACTAAAGTGCTCTCACCTTTTCCTTTTGACCAGTTCCATCATGGTAAATTGTGTTAATGCTGTGTTGTCTACAAAAACATGGTCAATGTAAGCTACGTTAAGCGATCGGATGTCCGGAACCCCCCCTGACCGTCCGAGGTTGTCCAATCGGACAACTAGTCGGTCGTCCACCCGGGGCCCTATGTCCGATCGGATGGGGAAATTGGGGGGGGCGCTTCCATGGAGAATCGGGCGCTGTGAGGGTGAGAAGTGGGTAGGGGTGAAGCGGAGGGGCCGAAGGGAAATTTTTTTCAAGGCCAGTAGGGCTTCGAAAATCAAAAACGAAAATAGCCTGATCTGGGCCGTCATATTTTTGAGATCGACGACCCAGATCGACCAGATTTCAAATTCGAATTCCGAGGCGCTGCAGCCCTCTCTCTCGTGCGACTTCGCTGAACCCTGTTGGTGGAGTTTGGCGTTGCAGTTGCCGAACTCCGGCGCCCAACAGCCGCAACCCACGCGCCAGCACCCGCCCGCGCCAAGTGAGTTTGCTTCCCTTCGTCCTCCACCTTCTCCTCCTCCGCCTCGTTTTCCTCTTCCGCCTTCTACTTCTCTTGTCCTCCTCTAGATCCTCCTTTCGTCCTCCTCCTTTTGTTCCTCCCTGCCTCCTTTTCTTCCTCCCCCTTGTCCTTATCGTCCTCCTCCTCCTCCTGCTCCTCCACTTACTCCTCCATGGGATCCTCCTCCTCGTCATCCTTGTAGTCTTGGTACTTTCTCTCCTCCTCATCCTCCTCTTATTCTTCCGCGACCTCCTCTTTTTTCTCCTTCTCCTCCTCCTCATCGTCCTCCATCTCCTCCACTTCTTCTTCCACCTCCTCATTTTCTTCCTCCTCCTCCTCCTTCTCCTTCTCCTTTTCTTATTCCTCTTCCTCATCCTCCTTCTCCTCCTCTTCCTCCTCCTCTTCTTTCTCCTCCTCCTCCTCATCCTCGTCATCCTCCTCGTTGTCCTCCTCCTCCTCCTCCTCCTCCTCCTCCTCCTCCCCCTCCTCAACGACCCCCCCCCCCCCCCCCCCCCCCCCCCTCTTCTTCTTCTACCTTGATGTCCTCCTCCTAATCCTTGTCGACCTCCTCCTCCACCTCGTCCTCGTCGTCGTCCTCCTCCTCCTCGTCCTTCTCCTCGTCCTTCTCCTCGTCCTTCTCCTCGTTCTTCTCCTTTTCTTCTTCCTCTTCCTCATCCTCCTTCTCCTCCTCTTCCTCCTCTTCTTCCTCCTCATCCTCGTCGTCCTCGTCGTCATCCTCCTCCTCCTCCTTCTTGTCCTCCTCCTCCTCCTCCTCCTCGTTGTCCTCCTCCTCCTCCTCCTCCTCCTCCTCCTCCCCCTTCCCCCCCCTCTCTTCTTCTTCTACCTCGATGTCCTCCTCCTAGTCCTCGTCGACCTCCTCCTCGTCCTCGTTCTCGTCGTCCTTCTCCTCCTCCTTTTTCTCCTCCTCTTCCTCGTCCTCATCCTCGTCCTCGTCCTCGTCCTTGTCCTCGTCCTTATCCTCGTCCTCGTCCTCGTCGTCCTTCTCCTCCTCCTCCTCGTCGTCCTCCTCCTCCTCCTCCTCCTCGTCCTCCTCCTCGTCCTCCTCCTCATCCTTGTCGTCCTTCTCCTCCTCCTCCTTGACCTCGTCCTCATCCTCGTCCTCATCCTCGTCCTCGTCCTCGTCCTCGTCCTCGTCCTCGTCCTCGTCCTCGTCCTCGTCCTCGTCCTCGTCCTCCTTTTTCTCCTCCTCCTCCTCCTTCTCCTCCTCCTCCTCCTCATTCTCGTCCTCGTTCTCATCGTCCTCCTCCGCCTCCTTCTCCTCCTCCTCCTCCTCCTCCTCCTCCTCCTCCTCCTCCAACGCTTCCAATCCCGCTCCCGCTTCCTTCCCTGCTCGCAGTCCCCACCCTCTCTACCTCTCGCTCATCCACTTTTCCCCGCTTCCTGCTTCCGCTGCCCCCGCACATGATTCTTCCTCCCGCCACATCACTTCCACCCCCATATCCCATCCCCGCTTCCGCCTCACCACCAATTTGATCCGCTCGATCGTCTCCCCACTTCTTCCAGCTTCTCCGTTTGACTCTCCCCACCTAGCGCGCACATTTTCCCACCATTTCCCCACCACCAAGCGCGCGTTTGCCCCCCACTCCAACTTTGATCTCCATCCCCCTCCCTTCAATCACCACCCAATCTCGACCTTCCCCTCTCCGATCCGACCTCCGCACTCCCAATTCCCACAAAATTCCCCGTTCCCGTTTCCGCTGCCTGATTTTCCATCTCCCCTCCTTTCCCCTCCGATCGCTCGCTTCCCTTGTGGCAATCCGACGTTCATAGCGACATTGCTTTTTTATCCCTCGACGTCGCTCTTCCTATCATTGTCGAGCAGAATTCACCAAGTGTTGATCAAGGACATATCAATCAATCAATCAATCAATCAATCAATATCAATCAATCAATCAATCAATCAATCCATACAATCAATTAATCAATCAATACAATCAATTGAACCAATCGATTCGACGGGATCGCGACTGATTGATTGATTTATTGTTTGATTGATTGAGTTGGAAAAAAAAAAAACGTTGGAGGGGTCGAGGTCATCTCGTGGTGATGTTGGGGGTTTTGCCCGCTCCCCATCGTCGTCGTCCTTCTCCTTTTCTTCCTCCCCAGCGTCCTCCTCACCTCTTCCCCCTCCTCATGCTCATCCTTGTCGCGGTCATCCCCTACCTCATCCTTTTCGGCGTTGTGCCCGTCCTCCTCCTTCTCCTTTTCCTTTTCTTCTTCAACCTCCTCGTCCTCCACATTGCCCTCGTCGTCTTCACCCATCACTGCTGTTCTCCGGTCATCCTCCCCCGACCTTATTCTCCTCCTCCTCCTCTTCATCTTCGTCATTCCTTTCATGTTATGCCACGTCCCCCCTCGCCGCTGCAGCTGCATCACCATCCCCACATTCTCGCCATGGTTGTTGACGTTATAATGTCCCCTCCCCTCTTTGCTTTGTTTTCCCCCCACACAATCAATCAATCAATCAATCCCCCAAACAATCCACCCCCCCCAACACCCCACCATCACACCTCGCACACCGTGTCGGAATTTTTTTTCCTTTCTTCGCAGACCCCCTCCGTTTTTTATTTTCTTTTCATTTTTTTTTGGCAAAAAAGGCATTGTCCGATTTTCCGGATAACTCCCCCCTAACCATCTCCAAGAGACGTCCGGGTGAGACATCTCCCAATCGGACAGCTGGCAGCCGAGCTTGTAAGGGTATTTGGTCCGCCAACGTTCTGCTCGTGCACCTCAAATCCGTGAGTCCCTTCTCCTTCCTTCGATACACGGCCAGAGAGCACTTGCTCGAAACCTCCTTGTCCCATGCTTCCAGCCTCATTATTTCTTCCGATTCCTTGTCCCTCCTACACCAGGAGTCCTATGCATTCACTTAGTCAGGACCAAACAAGGACTGCTGGTGTTCAGAGATGGCCTCCTCCCAATCAAATGATGATATATATATATTTTACAGAAAGACTCAACTCATTTGATTAACCACACAAAATAGAGGCTTGGAATTCCTCCACAAACAACCCCGAAAAGAAAATAGTGAGACCATTACCCAGCCTCGGTGCAGGAGTCAGGGTAACATTCAAAGACAGAAATGGCCAAAACCAGACTGTGAACGCCCGACCCTGGGGAGAAAAAAAAAGCCTCAGGCCATAAAGGCTACACAAACAAAAAAAAACACCAAAGAAACACCACATCGTCAAAAGAGCTAAACACAAACCAAAAAAGGAAAGCACCCCCCTCAAGCTCAACTATTTTGAGGCATCACCACTTCTAAAATATAATCCGCATGGGCTGAAGAAGTCGAAGAATCTAGCTACACAGCCAAAAAACTAAGCAGAATTAACCAACTTAGAATAACAATTAACTAATAACAAAGGAAGAAAAACAATAACAATCAGAGAGATATGTCTACTAAACAAAAATTGTAGGGCTATTAGGGCTATTGTAGTGACAACTCGGCTAGGGTACTGGAAGAAAGACTAGTTATTATACTCCTACTGTAACAAATCAACCCCTACTGTGGGGTCGAGATCCCCTTCAAGCCCTTTGGTATAGAGTCACACTCGCTCCACAATTCTACACCTTCTGCTGATCTATTGCAACCGGGCCACGAACCGAGTGTGCAGGTATTGGCTTCTAGTTTAGAGCTAAATAGCCAACCATCCAGCATAAGCTTGTTATCCTCATTGATATACGGCAAAGACCAGTTCAGACACCAAGTCTTTGAAAATCATATGTCGCAAGCTTCTTTAACCGACATGCCTCTCTTCCACGACCATCTTGCCACCAGGACCGCCTGATGGGATTGGAGCCAAAGTAATGATGCAAGCTTTTGTGAGGGTATCTTTGTGAGTTACCGCCACTGAGACTGCATCTCTTTTGTACTCGAAGGGTCCAAGCGGGGTAATGAGGTCTCCCACTTCTGTACAGCCTTGGTTAATATGCTCTTATCCTGAAGTTTCCGTCTTTGGGGCCATTGCCAGGCCCCATACCACTCCTGACTCCGTTTCCAGCCGCAGCTACCCTTGCCCAACCGGAGATCGTTGCAGGGGGTGGCATCTGCTGCCAAGCTCCAAGCTTGATCTTCTGAGCCACCCTGTTGAGGGAGGGCCATGGCCTGAATATTTACCAGGTTACTCATCCCGTAGTTGGATGTTCTGCCCGTGCACCTCAATCCCTTCTCCTTCCGTCGATACACGACCAGAGAGCACTTGCCCGACACCTCCGCATCCCATCCTTCCAGTCTCAAAAACTCATCTGACTCCTCCTCCCTCCTGTACCAGGACCTCACTGCATCCACTTGGTCCAGACCAAGTAGCGACTGCCACTAACAAACATTTCGTTAAAAGTGAACTTATTTTTAAGTTCACTTTTTATTTGCAATTAAAAATTGACACACAATTTTCAAAAAAAATATAATGACTGTTCAGGGATGGCCTCCTCCCTCCACATGATGATATCTCAAGGCCATTGCAAAACAGAGAAAAAAAGAGAAAAAAAGGGAAAAAAAACTATTGCTGTGGGGAATTTCATAGTCATGGTGACTATGAGCAAACGAAAACTGGTGGTGACGGTCTCCATACCTGACGTAGTTCACGTGACTGAACACGCCAGTCATTCCCAGGGGTGCATGCTTGGTCTGAGCGCTCAGCAGCGCTGGTGGAAGCATACAGGTAGGCCCCCGTCGATTTCCTTTTTCACTATATGTATGTATATTTCTGGGAAAAGCATTCTTTTATTACATCAATGAGACAAGGGCTGGAGGCCTCACAATTCAACCCGGAAAACTGGGGCCATTCCCCAACTTAGGCTCGTGCTGGAAACTGGACCCAGCGTCCCATTGCCCCAAAGGCTTTTTCCAAAAAATTCAACCTTGACGCTCAAAGGTGACCACTTGGCTCAAAAGAAAATCTTCTGCTAACTCAACATAAAGTCTAAGTCATTAGCTACTAAAATAAAACCTGCTGTCTACCAAACACCAAACATCTTTGTCTTCCTAGCAATATACCAATAGACGCCTACACACAACCAAGAATGGAGTTTCCGGCTCTAAAGCTGAGCCCGTCAGGATTATCAGGTGCCTGAGCAAATCAGAGCAGCCACTGAGCAAAAAACATTTTTCCGTCTTCAGACAGTGATGCCACATATCTGTCCCTTGCCTATGTTTTAGAAAACCACACCCACATACCTGTCTCTTGCCCATGTTTTAGAAAACCACACCAAACCTTTTCCTGCACTTGGAAATGCTTCAGCATTCCTCCAGCTCAGATGGATTCAAAAATAATTCCTCTTCCTATCAAAGCAGCATACCATTACCCAGCAGAGAAACTACAATTAGCTGGTGTGTTTTCACATATGCAATACGAAATGATTTCTTCCGGCCATTCTGAGGAGGTGGAGTAGAAAGGCTTCTACTTCTCTTTCCACCATTCCCAGATCATCTGTGAGGTGGAGGAGAAAGGCTTCTACTTCTCTTTCCACCATTCCCAGATCATCTTTGAGGTGGAGGAGAAAGGCTTCTACTTCTCTTTCCACCATTCCCAGATCATCTTTGAGGTGGAGGAGAAAGGCTTCTCTTTCCACCATTCCCAGAGCACTTTGAGCATGGAGTGGACAACAAAGCCAAAGGTACAGACCTAGCTCAATGGCTACACCCAAGAACTGTTGAAATACAGACTCAAGTTCGAATCCAGATACCTTCAGATGAACAGAATAAGCCGGTCAGTTTAATTAATGATGATAAAGCCACAGGTGGCCTGAGCTTTCCCCAGCCCCATTGACATCGTTCGTGTACAAGTAGCCGGCAGTTCCATGCCTTTCAAAACCAGCCAAGTGGCGGACGCTGTTATCTGATCTGACGAGATTGAAGGCACTGAATCGCTGCTTGTTTCTGGGAGGGTACCCTGTTCAGGGCCTTCCATCCAGAGTTTCCCAGATCTTTACCCTTTACAGTCGAGACTGGAGACCTGCCAATCTTCTTTGTGCGGTGATAGTTGTGCTTTCTTGACAACGCTTTCTTGCTGCAGCAAAACAGCTGTTTTGTTGCTTTTATAGGAAAAGATATGAAGGGGTAAACTGGGTCTAAGGGGTAAAATATGAAGGGGTAAACTGGGTCTAAGGGGTAAACTGGGTCTTCTAAGGGGTAAACTGGGTATTCTAAGGGGTAAACTGGGTCCGCATTGCTTCTGCTTTCCTTCAGACTTCCGAACAACACTGGCGGTTAGATGATGTGTGTAGGTGGAGGTTGATTCTGAGGTGCACCACCGTCGATTTCTGGGACAAATTCCCACGCGTGCCATCCGTGCGCAGGGGGCCATCGAGGACGAAATGGAACCGAAGGGCTCTCCGTCTCGGCTCGCTCCTTACTTTTGGTACGCGGGACGGTTGTCTTACCCTCCAGCGGTGGTAAGATGCAGATCAGGCGAACGGGTGAGGGCAAGGGGCATTACCCAAACAGGGACAACTCGCACTGAGAAAAACTGGCCGTAGATGTAGTCATCATGCATACGGGAAATTCGGACGCCTCTACGAAACTCGGGGCTGTGAGTTTTGTCCAAGGTGAACAACGGTGGGGCACGCAAAGCCACCGTTCGTGGAACGTCTACGACGTAGCCGATGGCGATGGCGCCGTCGCCAAGGCCCCCTCCTGCTGCGGCGGAAACGCAAGGATCCGCAGGGGTAAAACTAAAATAAGTAGTGTTGCGGCTTCTCGCAGTTGCTTTCCTTCCGCTTGTTCATTCTGGTGCCGACATGTCCCATTCAGCAGTGAATTACTGGTTTAATCGATTTTCGATTCATTATTACTTGAAGCAGCGATTTGTTTAGTAAATTATTTTTGGCCACTTATAATGTCAATGTTGAATGTACAGATACTTCCGTACAATACCGCAAGTTGGAAGTTGTTCGTGGACATCTCGAGACGTCACTAATCGGCGGCGAAGCTTTTGTCCTGCCCCCTTGTTCTGATTCTGAGTTGGACATCGGTGCCCCGTTGCCCACTCTCTGCGGGCGAAGCGACGCCGTGCCATGCCAGCAAGGATGCCCCTCGAGCGATTACCTTCTACGTAGGTTTCGAACTCAGGTTCGAACGTAGATTCCTGCCACGTGGCCCGCGCTCTGCGTGCGAAGCGAAGCGAAGCCGTGCCGTGCCAGCAAGGATGCCCCTCGAGGGATTAGATTCTACGTAGGTTCGAACGTAGATTCCTGCCACGTGGCCCGCGCTCTGCGGGCGAAYCGAAGCCGTGCCGTGCCAGCAAGGATGCCCCTCGAGCGATTACATTCTACGTAGGTTCGAACTCAGGTTCGAACGTAGATTCCTGCCACGTGGCCCGCGCTCTGCGGGCGAATCGAAGCCGGCAAATCAGGTTCGAACGTAGATTCCTGCCACGTGGCCCGCGCTCTGCTTGCGAAGCGAAGCCGTGCCGTGCCAGCAGGGATGCCCCTCGAGCGATCACAGTCTACGTAGGTTCGAACTCAGGTTCGAACGTAGATTCGATTCGAGTAGATTGCAGTAGGATTTGACGTAGAAGGTAATGGCGTCGAAGTTCCGGCGGCAGCAGCGGCGGAAGCGATGGACAGACTCGGGCGTCGTGTTCCCGCCAGATTACGAGGACAAGTTACGTCGGCTTGCGGCCTTGGTGAGCGACGGCGGCGCCAATGCGTCGAGCCTCGAAAAATTGGGCGGCAAGTTGGGCGGCGATCCGTGGCGATCGTCTGTCCTGCAGTTTGTCGTGGAAGCGAGGACGTTCTCCTCGATGGCATTCACGTACGGCGAAATTCCTTGCATGCAAAAGCTCGCCGAGGCGATGACACGTGTGTGGAAACTGGCGGTCGGAAGTTGGGGTCCTTCCCTGTTACTATCATCAGCACCACCACCGCCGCCTCTTCCTCCTCCTCCAGCACCACCGTCATCATCGACATCACCATTATCATCTTCATCGGTCTTGCGGAGCGCTTCTTCTTCGGATGCGCAGGTGGCTATGGCGGGTAGTACTTTGTCGCTTGCCCTGGAAATCTATCTTGAGGTGCTGTTCCTGGACAACTCCCGACCTCTTCATCGCCATCTTCTGTGCGCATTGTGTCGTTTCTCGCGGGAGCAGATGCATCTGGTCGAGGATAACGTTTATCGTCATTGTACGGACTACGGATCAGGCGGCAGGAAGTGGAGGAGGTTCGGATTGGTTCCCGCGTCATCGTCTATGGCCGCTCCTCAGTTCCAAGGGGTTTTAGACGGCGCGCTCAGGCGATGCTCTGTCATCATGGCAGACTCTCTGTGTGATGACCTCCGCTCCGTGGTCGATGGCGCTCTGAAGGGTATCAACCCAACCCCCTCTATGATGGACGAATGCCAGGAGGCTCTGTCATCTCTATACACCTTACTCCATAGGAGCGGGGATCTCATTCTCCTATCGTCTCCACCATCTCTCAACGATCAAACCAAAGGAGGAGGAGGAGGAGGAGGAGAAGTAGGAGGAGGAGAAGGGGAAGCAGGAACAGGACAAGGGTCGATGATGATGGCATCAGAGGGAAGGGCTTGTGATGGATCAGAGGAGGAGGAGGAGGAAGAAGAGAAGGGCATTTTAGGAGAAGAAGGTGGACGTGGCAGGAGGCGATGGCGGATTCGATCCGATGACCTGGTAGGAAGACGGAGAAGACCGTGGCAATTTAATGGCAGTGGCGGTAGTGCGGTCGTCTTCTCGTCGGTGTATATTAAAATTTTGACCACTTTGATATCTGTACTCCAGTCCTCAGTGCTTACCAGAGAGTGTGTCGTGGCGGCGAGTGTGGCTCTCTGTGCCGCGCTGCAGCTGAACACGCCTGACGAATTGCTTGCGCTGCAACTTGCTCACGCCATGTTCGGGCGGGATGTGGAGAAGGAGGAGGAGGAGGAGGAGAAAGAGACTGCGAAAAACACAGAAGAAGAAAAAGGGGGAGGAGAGCGAGGAAGAAGAAGAGGAGGAACAGACTGGGGGGTAGGAGAAGGTGGGAACGAGGAGGAGGAAGGACGTGGGGAAGAAACAAGGTTTTGCTTGCCTACTCGGGGGAGCGGCCGTTTGCTGCGATATGGGGGGGAACGGAAGGAGTGTGACGACAACAACAATGTGGTACGGATCGTGGCTGACGAATCCTTACGAGCGGCGGTGGGCATGGACTTCACATCAGAGTACCGAAAATTTACTGATTTCGGGAAGCTTTGCTGGATGAGGGGAATGCTGACAGCACTACCAAGAAGAGCGTTAAATGTACACCTGTTGATGTCCTGCAGCAAAGCGGTGCATCATCGTGCGGCGGGTAACTGTAGTAGAGGTGAGGAGGAGGGCAGTTTTTGCGGCGGAGATCGACGTACAAGTCGGGGAGGAAGGGAGCGTGATGAAGAGGAGGACGGCAGGGGGCAGGATGATAGTTCCCCCCCGCCAACGGGGGAATCGTCCGCGAGGAAGGAGGGGGAAGAGGAGGCCGCGGCGGCGGAACGCGATGAAGAAGAGGACGGCAAGGGGGAGGATGATAGTCCATCATCCTCCCCGCCGACGGGGGAATCGTGCGCGAGGAAGGAGGGGGAAGAGGAGGTGGCGGCGGAACGCGATGAAGAGGAGGACGGCAGGGGGGAGGATGATAGTCATGATAGTCATCCTCCCTCGCCAACGGGGGAACCGTGCGCGAGGAAGGAGGAGGAAGAGGAGGTGGCGGCGGAAGGCGAGAAAGCGAAGAAAGCGAAGAAAGCGAAGAACGGGAAAAGAAGTAATCTCCGTTGGAGATCGTGGACGCTACTGTTTGATGGGATACTGCCGGCTATGTCCAGATTCTGCGAGTTGTCCAACGACGCCCATTTTAAGTTCCATTCTGTTACCTGTCTGCAGATCTGCTTGCAGCAGATCAAAGCGTCGTTGCTTGGCGGCGTCACGCGAGAGGCTGAGGCGGAGCTCCTCGCCGCTGTAGAGACAGCAGGTGACTTGGCCGATGGATTAGAGTTGGGCGACTATCTGTCTTCCAGTGCGACCGAGAGACTACTGCGTATTGTGTGGAATAACTGGGAAGATCCTCTCACGCAGACTGTCAAGCAGGTGCAGAGCGTATTCGATCTCGTTGTCGATGTGAAAGCGCTGGCCGTTTCTCCTCGTTGTCGTCGTCGTCGTGAGGGGCCTGGTGGTGGCGGTAAAGCCAATCAGGCAAGTTTGGCGATGATCGGCGACGATACCTCACTCAGCGGCGGCAGGGAAATGGGGTCCGGCGGGAATCGCCACGTGGCAGCAGCGGAGAGGGGGGCGGGGAAGGGGAGCGGGACGGCCGGCTCCCGGGTGGGCGCGGTGATGGTCGATGAGCAGGAGCGGCGGGCGATGAGCGATGGATTGCGGCCGTTCGATGACGACGCTAATTCAACGGTTGCGGCGGCGCGCTCTGGATCGACCGGTGGCGAACCCGATCTTGTTGTTGATGATCGGGATCTCGATCCGGTTGCCGCTGACGACGATGACGGGCTTGGTCTGCTGAATTGTCATCAAACGGAAGCAGTTGCACCTGAAGGAGGAGGAGGAGGAGGAGGAGGAGGAGATCGTGTTCACTCCGAAGATGCTGGGGAGGATGAGTTCGATAGCTTTCTCGTTGGAATCGCCAACAACTTGTTGTCGATAAGTGCCCACAGAAAAGGCCGCTATGTCCCTCTCGCGTCTCTCGCCGTACGGCTCGGCGCGCAACGACTTCTTCACATGAGCCCGGGTTTGCTGCATGGGGTTGTCCTCGCCATCAGGGACGATGGGGTGTGTTGTCAGGTGAATGCGTTTTTGAGGATATTTTTGGAGCGACTGAGAGAGGAGTGCTGGCGCACTGAGGAAGGAGCATCACCGGGCGACGTGGCGTGGCGGCGCGCTTGGGTGCCGCCGATCCTCGCGGGATTGCTGTCGGACGATCCCAAGATACGCGGCAATTTGACGACCTACGTTCTTCCAGTGGTCCTGCAGCTCGATCGGGACAGCCTCGGCGCGCTTCTGGCTTTCGTACTTCCCTCTCCGCGTCGAGGTTCTTCCCCCTCGTCGTTGTCCTGTCCAAAGTCCCCGTCTTTGCCGGAGGAAGACAGTGTCACAGTCGCAGCAACGGCAGGTGGTCGTCGTCGGCGGAGCGAAAGGCCGGGGAAGCGGTGCGCGAACGGCCGCTGGCTTGAGGAGCTAGCTGGCATGTCGGAGCTGCTGCCACGTGGCCCGGCGCTGGAGCGACACCGCGTAGCAGGGCTTGTGGCTGTCCTCAAAGTTGCGCGCGCTCTGGCACTCGTCGATGGGCCCATCGAGTACTATCCTCGCTGGCAAAGCCCCCAACTAGGTGGCCACGTGGACGGCCCTAGCATCTGGATGACGAGGGCGAGGGAAGAAGGCGTGAAGGAAGAGCTCCTCGAAAACAAAGTCGGGGGTAATGACCCTTGTGCTGCTGGAGTAGGGGACAAGGTCGCTGCTTTTGTCACCGATCATTGGAGATCGGACGATGGAGAGCAGACGGTTAGGAGGAGGGACAGGAACGATGACCACCTCTCTCTGTCCCGGCCCCCTCGTCTTCCTCCTCCCAGGCTCGCGAAGTGGGGTCGGGATATCGTGCTTCCGGTGGACATGCTAGAGTGCGCGGTCACGCACATGGATGAGCGGCTGCGCGTGGATGCGGCGGAATTGCTCTGCTTGAATCCGAAGACGGCCATTCTTCCCAGCTGGTTGGAGCTCCGCCTGCTGCGCTTAGCTATGCCGCTCAATCTCCGCTGCTCATCGACTAATTTCCGCATGCGATGGACGAGTCTGATGAAGAAGTTCTTCGCTCGTGTGCGCGTGTCCGTTGATCGGCAGATTCAGATTGCGCTGCGGCGGAGACAGACCGATCGCCGCCGCACACATGAGCAAGCTGCTTGCGGGGCTTCTCCCCTGCGCGCAGGGAAGGTGGCATCGGGGGGAATAGCAAAGGCGCGAGCGGCGGGGAAGCAGGGAGAGATCAGGGGGACCTCCATAGCGCTTGTTGTGTCGAATGACCTGAGCAATGGCCATGGCATGGGAATAGGAGAGAGACAGGAAATGAAGAGGTGGCATCAGCAGGATGGCGGGGAGAAAATCACCGAGGAGGAGGAGGAGGAGGAGGAGGAGGATACTGGGTGGGAAACGGAGGAAGAAGAGGAGGAAGAAGAGACGGGGTCTAGCAGCATGACTGTCGCTGCTATGCAAGAATTTATGCAGTGGATGAGTAGGCTGCTGCTCAGCTCTCTTTATCCCAGCGCGCCATACGAGAGGAAGAACATGGCTATGGAGGTCCTTAACGCCATGATTGAGGTTTGGAGCCCCCGGGGCACAATCAGCAGCAGCAGCACCATCACGGCCGCTTCTTCTTCTCCCTCTTCCTCTTCGGCTGCGACTGGTAATTATACTAATAAGATGACACGTGGCGGTCAGGATGATGGCCACGTCGCCGCCGTGGGCCAAACAGCTGTAAAGACAACAGGACAAGCGAATGCGAAGGACGGGGGTGCAGGAACTGGAGATGATGATGCTAAGGGAGGGAAGGGAGTTGGTGACGAAGAAGAGGCGATCGGACGGAGGGATGGCTTTGGCTTTGGCTTTGGCTTTTGCCCATACGACGAGGGTTTTTTGTCGGCGGCGGGGACTTTGGTGGTGGTAGGTGCTGCGGTAGATAGCTGGGATCGTCTGCGAGAGGGCGCGTTCACAATCCTGTTGAGGTACCCAACCCCATTGCGCGGGCTTGAGCATCCTGAGCAAGTTGAGTCCGTGCTCAAGTGGGCCAAGGTTCTCGTCTCAAGCCCGAGGGTGAGAGAAGCAGATGCAGGTGCCCTCGTCCTCCGGCTCATCTTTCGTAAATATGTTGTCGAATCTGGCTGGATCATCTCTCTTCACCCTCAGCCTCAAGCCCGTTTGCCACCATTAGCACCTTCAGCAGCAGCAGCAGCTCTGGATGCGGGAAAGGCCGGGGAAAAAGTGACGTGGCCGTATGTCCCCGATTCCATTGCAGCTTACGTCGAGTCGCTGAACGACTGGTTCGAGTCCAGCGTGGAGGAAGGAGAAAGGGATCTGCTCAAGGCTTGTCAGCACAGCCTGGTGCACGGGGTTGTCCTTGCCACGCGCTACACCATGGAGGAGGTCGATTGGATGTCGAAGGCGGTGCAGCTAGCTGCCAGTCGACTGCGGGAGTCTCTGCAGCGCTTGTTCTCTCTTGTGCTGCGGGTAACAGAGCTGGCTCTGTGGGTGGTTGCCGCCAATGCGCTCAATCTGCAGATGTATAGCGAGGGAGGAGGAGGAGGGGTAGGTCGAGGTGAGGGGAAAGAGGAGGAGGAGGAGGAGGAGCAAGTGATCTGTGACGATGTGGAGGAGAGATTGACGTACTATGGAGCTGGGGAGGAACGCGAGAAACGTGGAGATGGGCAGGGAGAGGAGGAGGGAGAGGAGCAGGAGGAGGAGGAGCAGGAGGAGTGGAAGGCAGAGCTCGCTCCCAAAGAGCAGATGGTAATGGTGGGTTGTTGGTTGTCCATGAAGGAGGTGAGCCTGCTGCTGGGCACGGTCACAAGGGCGATCCCTCTCCCACCGGAATGTGGGAGAGAGTCGCTGAATGGTGCCGGTGGTGAGGATCTAACGCCTTCGTCAGTGGAATACGGATGCTCGAAAAATGGTATAGACAAGGAAGAAGAGGGGGAGGAGATGGGGGAGGAGAAGGAGGTGATCTGGAGGAGACGACTGCAAGATCAACCGCAGCAGGAGCAACAGTCGAAGGTGCTGCTGGACGCCAAGCAGATGGAAGCGATAGGTGACCACCTGCTACATGTATTGCTAGCGACGAAACATAATGGAGCGATCGACAAGACTCGGGCAGGTTTCATTGCTCTCTGTGAGCGACTGCTGCGGAGCTCTTTGCCGGAGTAAGCAATCTTGACAAGCCCATCGTTCCATGTTTTTCAGTTGGATTTCATAGCATCACCCTGCTTTTATCTAATCTATTCAAAAATGATAATCTAATTCAATTGCTCTCTGCGAGAGACTGCTGCGAAGCCCTTTGCCGGAGTAAGCAATCTTGACAAGCTGTTCGTTCAATGTTTTTTTTAGTTGGATTTTCACACGATCACCCTGTTTCAATCTTATCTATTCAAAACGGCAGTCTTAATTCAATCTAGTGGAGTCTGATCTGATCTAATCTAGATCTAGTGTCTGATCTAATTTAGTAGAATCTAATCTAATCTCATCTAGTGGAATCTACTCTAATCTACTCTAGTCGAATCTAATCTAATCTAATCTAATCTAATCAAACCTAATCTGGTGGAATCTGATGTAGTGGAATCCGAACTAATCTAATATAGTGGAATCTAATCTAATCTAATCTAATCTAATCTAATCTAATCTAATCTGACCTTCAAATGTAAAATGTAATCAAAGTAAAGTAAATCTAATTTAGTTTGGTCCGATCTGATCAAAATTAATAGCTCATCTAACCTAATCCAATCTAATCCAATCTAATCCAATCTAATCATATAAAATATAAAGCGTGCATTTTGCGATTTCCTGAGGCAGTGACGTCAGCTCATCACTGGTACCGAACGTAACCCCCCTTTTCAACCAAAATTCACGAATATCTTCCATAAATTTGCCAGCTGGGGGCACTGATGACTTTTTTTTTTTTCCCCCTTCTTCTTTTTCTTTTTTCTTTGTCGCTTCGTTTGATCTAATAGACCGCCTCTTCATTTTCTATCCCCACAGACTCTTAAACCCTAAACCCTGGTATTCTCGACTCCCCATATTTCAATCTTAAACCACCAGTAGGCCCGGCGTCCGGGCCTGTACGCCTGGGCCTGGCGGACTTCCACCACGCGCCAAGCTTTTCCGAGCCGCCAGCAGCGCACTCTCTTTTCTTTTTTTTCCATTTGGCTGGTGCCGCCAGCCATTGTGGTCCGGGGTAGACCTTAGGCTCCGCAATTTTCGTAGGGAATGAAAACGGTTTCTCCCCAAGGCTGGGGCCGTGTACTGATGGTTTCAGCCTTTAAACCACTGTTTATCCAAAGCTGTTTTACCGAGTTTCTCGCTGGCAAACCCCAACTTGCAGAGCTGACGCACAGGGTTGGGCCTGCCAGAAGCAGCGGGCTTTGGTGACCAGTTAGGCTGAACTGTGACCTGCGACCCCCTTGTGCACCCATGCAGAGCCCGGAATCAATAAAAGTAAGCGTGACCGCTTACCCCCCCCCCCCCCCCCC